CAGTTATTGCCATATGTTAATGTATAGTTATTGCCCAGGGAAATTATTATTAGATTGTTGCCACCATGCAGTAGCAGTGTTTAAGATGCTCATTGCTAGACTTGTTTTGCAATTTACAGGCATAAATATTTAAATGGCTTTTAATGTTTCATTTTCAGTATGCCAAAGACTCCAAAAGTTCAATATAGCATAGAAAATTTGCAAAAAGCGATCGAAGCTGTACTTGATGTATCTAACAATTTATCTACAAGATAAATTGCTGAAAAATATGGTTTGGCTTGAAAAAATTGATAAAAATTCAAACGAAAATAATAAAAATGAAAATCCTACGTTAAATCTACTAGTGAAAATGTTAATTGTAAGGAAATAGATACAACTTTAGGGAAGAATAACCAACATCAGCTCAAGAAATATTTGATAATATGTTAATAAGGCCAAACGCAATTTATTTTGAAATTTTGAAGACTGTACTACTAGAATTTAAGTTTAATGTTTTGTTTTATTTATTTAAAGCCTATTTTGTCATTTTAAAATTGATTATTTTGTTTAAAGATACTGGGCAATTACTGTGCTTTGATGTGGGCAATTAGTGTAAGTAATGGGCAATGACTGTACTTTTTGGAGGATTTTAAATTTATTTCAATATTTTCTAAGTTACGTAAGTTTTAACTAAAAACTGTTAATATTCTGTTTAACAGTTTATTGAGTTATAAGAAAAAAGTCATAAATGGTCGATAATTAAAATACTTTCTTTAATGTTTCATCTCAATGAGTTTGAAATCTTTAAGTGGGCAATAGCTATACGGTTTACCCTACGATGATTAAAATTGTGGTAAAAAATAAAGAAAAGATAAGACTTCCTCATAATATTAATTAATTACTAATTATTATTATCTCTTTGTCACGTTTCATTCGTAATAGGTTTATTTACAAACATAAAGCTACAAAAATGGTTATAATATAATCAGCTACACAGATGTTTTTCTTTTTATTAAAGACACACTCTTACAGGACCTCTCTAATGCTCGCAGCTGACATTCGGCATTCGTGCGTGATTGCGTCCGTTCACCGAACCTTTGTAATGCGCGCGGCAGTATTCGTGCGTGGTCGCGTCCGTTCGCCGAGCGTGTTCGACCCTAATGAGATGCCGCCTTTACCGCATGACCTCGGCCCAACACTTTTAAAGACAATATGCTCTCACTAGGACCTCCCTAATGCTCGCAGCTGACATTCGGCATTCGTGCGTGATCGCGTCCGTTCACCGAACCTTTGTAATGCGCGCGGCAGTATTCGTGCGTGGTCGCGTCCGTTCGCCGAGCATTCAGCCATAATGGGGTGCCGCCTTTACCGCATGACCTCAGCCCAACACTTTTCCCGACAATTTCCCTTCCAACGACCCTTAACCACAGCAATGTAAATATTATTTCGCTAAGATACGACATAATTTCTTTTGTTTGCACAAACAGAGTCCTACATTATTCAAAGGTTTCTGAATAACAAATTGTATTTGCACCCGACCCTTTGTAAAACGGATTGTCTTCGATTATATCTGTCTCTGTCACTCATACTAGCAACCTTAAATGAGTAAAACAGACAGAAATACTGAAAATATTTTCCAGGCCAGTTTACTGTTTCTATTCAGCACACGCTTTTGGAAAGGGATAAACAATGTCTCTCGCCATTATTTAAACGTTCCTTTTAATATTTCTTAATTAAAGTAAGAGCTTTGCGGTTTTGAATAGGCATTTATTTGAAATGTAATAAATCCGAAACTGTAATAAGGAGGAATATTCATTTAAATGATTTTAGATGGAAATATTTTAAGTTACTAGCTTTATAAGCTACCGCGTGAAATTCAGTCTGTCACAAAAACAGTGGCCTACTAGTTATCGATACAATTTAACCAACAAACTGAATATCGTAGGACAAAAGGATAGGATTGTAGGTATAATATGGCGCAGTTACACTATGCCGGAAATTGATCGAGACATAGTGTAAACACGCACTTCTGTTAGTTTCATCGTGCATCGTCATACCTCGGTGTGCGTGCTCACGCTTCTGTTCGATCCACTTCCTGCATAATCTAACTGCGCCATTAGGATTGTAGAGCGAGGATTAGAGCCAGGTACCTATATTAAATAGTTATATTGAAATATCCGCAACTTTACCTAACTGCCACAAAAATAACCGTCTCATGTTTATAACGACTGCTTCCCCACATATTTATATTAACTCATAAATCTATACGACTAACAAACGTTCACGAACCGTAAAAATTCTCGACAAAACGTCACGCATTTCAAGAAATCGTAAATATTCGACAACTTTTGTAGCTAAGGCATTTTTTTCATAAAAATACCGAATTCGGTCAAATATGACATTGGCATAAACATGTATGGTATCCGTTTTCTTTAGGAACGTAGATCACTGTTATCTAGAAGAGACTTTGTTCACTAAGCCATTAACGATGCTTGCTTAAGTGAAGCAGCAAATCGAACGCACAGCGTTGAATAGAGGTTTGTGATTGATTCTCGTGTCAGTCTGCGTCCTCGCGGACTGTGAGACCTCATGGTAATGTTTGTGAATACGGTCGTAAGAGCGAAAGCACACGGTGCGTTGCGGCGGCGGTGCGACGCCGGAGCGGTGTCGCTGCGTTGTCTTACATAGAAATACCACCATCTTACCTAAGTCTGTCGCCATAACAACAATGTTAACAGCATTGTTGTTTTCCGGCAGTTAGAGGTAAGTATAGCCAGTTCCTCCGTGGTTGAGGATTCCGGGTTAAGTTCGCTTCCACCTTCGGCCTGATTATCACTTACCATCAAGTGAGATACAGGCCAAGAGCTGCCTCGTTGTGAATAAAAAAAAATGTGTTGTGCACACGAGCGGTTCGGCACACCGCCGCACGATGCGAAGAAATCTTTGCGTTGCGGCGCCGCAACGCATCGTGTGCTTTGGCCCTATTTGATACACGCTCACCCAACCTTCTAAACCAATCAATCTAGACATCATAAATAAATAAATTAAGTCTACCACGTAGTCTCGTACCAAATGGAGGCCATAAAGACCCGCTTTCTATATCTACGAGAATGTGTATCAACTATGTAACTTCTAAAAAAATCGTACCCTTCTTTTACTCCTATATTACATCTAGGATATATTGTTATTCAGATTAACTATGAAAATCCTGTAATGCAAATTGATCCCTCTCCCGAGACTAAAAAAAGTCGTACTTATTTCCCAAAATAAATCAAATACTTATAGAGCGGAGTAGATGTATTTTTTTCTAACCAAATCGGAATCTCCAAAGTGATTTTGGTAAAAATAGTAAAAACAATATTTCGTTTGATGCTCTCAAATGTCTTTACCAAACGAGTTCCTCATAAAATCTAATTCCTTTTGCAATTAAAAACATCCCTTAAGACCAAATCGATATCAAATTAAAACACCGATTCTAGCAAATCTTTAAATCCTTGCAGCAATTTCGATACTTAATGTATTCGACCCTACCTTCGAATTCAGGAGCGGAAAATGCTAAATTGAATCTTGTCTTGAGATTCCCTCGATGCACAGACAAGTGACATAGCACACCGTCTTGCAACTGCAGTAACCCAATAGCACCTTTTGTAAGGCATAACAAAAGCTCTTATTGAAAAAATCAAACGTTTTAGATGGTTTTTCCCAATATAAGCTTTTGACAAGTGCTCGACTTATCCAACTATAATTTTCTAATAAAACATCTACATCTAAACTCGCGGTAGCGTGTCAAGCCAAGTTCAAGTCAGAACTGGCGAGCAGCAGCGTGTGTAATATAACACAAACCATTTGGAGCCACTTTTGACCCCTTTAAAATATTTCTTACAAAAAAATATCTTCAAAACCCCCTAGAATAAATTTTAATGAATGAAGAAGTCGCGTTGAAGGTCTTTCTTTCTTCAATGTAATAAAAAAGTTTTAACGTAAAAAACTTTCTTTACTTTTTGCTTGCAAAGTTAAAGTTTATGGTCACTACTCTTCCGCACAGCTCAGTCTATAAATGCAGAGTGGTCTGTACTTACTTTGCTACCGTTTTTATGATTTGGCCACAGCTTTATGAAGAACGTCGGGAATTGTAGACTCTAATTGATTTGAAGGAAGTTTATTTTTATTTGATTAGGGGAGGTCGGTAGTAAACATTTTAATTTTCTAATTTGGTTCGGTGACATTATTTTGATTGATCCAATTAACTTTATTCCCCATTTTGGACCTTTTATAATACAGATAATTGTTTTAAAATTTAAATAAAATTTTAAGCAAACTTACCTACTTGAAAATAGATAACTTGAAATCGGAACGGATTCCAATAATGTTTAACTTAAATAATTATATTTTATGCACTTTAATGCAGGTTCCGGAAGGTTTCCGAAAAATATATTATAAACTGTACAATTTAATGTTTAATTCAAACTTTATTGACAAGCTTGACAATTATTCGTACTGTTTGCCTCCATTGATGTTGACAGTATTGTTAAAATATCAACATTGATTGCATGAATATTGGCCCGCTTTTATGAAGTTTATTGCATGAATGAATTGAGAATTTGTATGAAACAGAGCACGTCCATTGTTTAAACAAACTATTGATGAAGAATCGGCCCCTAAAATATTAATTTATCATCATCATCATCATCATCAACAGCCCTTTACAGTCCACTGCTGGACTATGAGCCTCCTCCACTATAGTGGAGGGTTTTGCCATAATTAATTTATACATTAATTAATTCTGTTTTCCAAGGTGTAGGTACTAAATAAATCAGAGACTATATCTAGTAAACTACAAACAAAAAACAAACGTATTCAGGGTGTTTACTATATTTTATGTATATAAAATATAAACTTTCAAAAACTATAAACTAGATTACCTACAGAAGTGTCACTCCTTAAAGATAGATTAGTAATTATTGCCTAAGTTTACAACCCATCAAAATTTCAAATGTTTTAATCTTAAAAAATACACTTACCAGGAGAAAATTCGACGGTGATCTTCGCAGAAACGTCTGGCAGAAACGTCTCAAATACTTCTGTTGAAATAAATAAGAGGACATGCAAATGTAAGCTCTAACAAGCAGTGAATAAGAGCCTGGATTGTTGAAATATTTGTCAGAATTAGGTACAAAATGTCAAAGATTAAGAATAGTAGTAGTTGTTTATAAAATTAAATATGATATTTAACAAGAGTAGGTTAGAAAAATGCAAAAAGAATACATGCATTTTCATGTACATATTAGTTGAAAACTATCTTTCATGCAGCTAGAAGTTTTGCTAACTATTCCTTAGTTTTTCTAGGACTAATAAGGACTAAAGTATTCCCATGCTAAGCTATGCTAATTTGAAACTGTAAGTGTTATTCTATCTTCTACAACTTTTAAAAACAACTTTGAAAAGTAAGTACATAATGCAAAATTAAAGTAGGTAATTATACTTTTTTTTGTACAGTCGTCAGCACAGCAGACTAAGACACTTTCTTATGGAATTATATTTATTTATTTTATGGAAAACAAACAGCACATAATGCAACAAATTTAAACATTATGTAAAACATCATCACTGTGTAAGATATTTTAGATGTTACAGTGTTTAGCTGGATGTGCTATCGTCTGCACTTTCCCGTATATCTAGGCATATTAGATTAAAATTCATTCTAAAAAAATACTTGAATTAAAAACCTGTCTGTCCAAAAAGATTTTTGCTAGGTATACACTTATTGCATTTACTTGTTTGGAATGGACCTTCTGTAAATGTGTATTCTTTGCCTACCTCCTAGTAACTCTGGCTCGCCGAGGTTTACGTAGAACAGCACATCCTTCTCGTAGCTGTCCTCTTCTATTATGTGGAGGGGGATGAATTTTCTGGAACAAAAAAAAAGTTATAAGCTATAACACAACTTTTTTATAGTAGTAGGTATTATGTGAATGCAATTGAATATGACAAAACATTGTTTTTCTAAGTATTTATTAATTAGTTGTAACAATCATTCGTTCAGTTTAGAGATGGAGCAAGATAATATGTGAAATAATAACCTACACTAATCATTATACGCCCACGACTTCGGATGATAAAGACTCTATGCGGGATTTGAACCCATTACCTAGGTGTCGTTATAGTCCAATACATGAACCACCAAGCCTCGGGGTTTTTAGTGATCTAGTAAAATATTATGACCATAATTAAGTCCGGCTGATTATGGTCATAATATTTTACTAAATACGTAAAATCAATCAAATAAAACATTTATTCAGTACTGAGACCCTTTCTAGCTAATTAATACACAACAAAATTTTAACAAAAGTATTTTGAATTTGTACAAAAGAGAGCCTACTGCATCCACTTTCATTATTATAAGTGCTCGTGCCACAGATTAAATAATAAATCACGCAGACGGGGCATAACTCATAATAATGTACCTACACTCGCGGAGTTAATTTGCCCGCGACGACTGCTAAGTACAGCAGTTCGTCATAATTTGTATTAACACTTGTCGAGAAAGCACGAAAATATTTAGTTAAGTACTCGTTGCACGAAATCGTTTTTCATTTAAAATTAGTAACATTCAGCTTAAGGCTGGGTTGCATCATCTTACTTAAACTTTTAACAAATATCAAAAATCTGTCAAACTCCATACAAAAAACGCCAGTTGAGGTTATAGTCACGGTTAAAATAAGGCGATGCAACTTAACCTAAGTTATTTATCATGATGAAAGAAGTTTTGTGACTTGTAAACGTTAAAAAACATGATTGTTTGCTATGATTTTACCTTACATTACTTTTCGATGAATATAAAATCTTGTGAGTATAAAGCTTGGTGTTATTAGAAGATTTGTAGAAACGAGTTAATTGACAATGTAAAAATATTTTTAAACATTTACCTCATTACAATTCGAGATGTGGAAATTATGCTTGAAGAAAATGAGGAGCCTGTCAAAAGTGGAAAAATAACAAAAGAGCATCGAAACTGGTCGGTAAAAACAAAAAACTTCTATAGTGGCCAGTAATTCGCGTGCGGTCGCAAAAAAAGTTTCGACAGAATTTAGACAAGTAATAAAATTTTTACTCGGTAACGATGAACTCTGTTCACGAAGTTTCTGTATGTATTATTATGAAAAACCTATTTCGAACGTATCAAACAAGGAACTACAAAGATTACGAGATAACGTAACAAAAACACAAGCAATTTCGTTTTTCGTGCAATCCATTTGCCTAAACGTTTTCCCCTACAAACAAATTCGAAGAATCATTCCTTTGCAAGCGACTCGTTTTAGCTGTTAACATACAAATCCGTCCTTTCGACATTCCCGTAGGCAGAAACGTCATCAATTTTGTTACGAGACATATCGCATCTGCCTTTGGCTTATCTTTGATAGGATCTTAATCATTGTAGGTACAGTCAGCATAATCAGACTCTAACATTTTCGTTTTATAATCGCTTTTATTACAACCAAATAACAATTAAAGTCTTATTTTGATATAGGTACAGTCGAAAGCACATCTGACTGTTCATATTTATTGGAAAATAGTACTTACTATTATAGTTGTTGCAATTCACAAAGGCGAGTGAGCTTTACTTGTATGTGTACGTGCACATAACGATTAGTGATTATAAAACGAAAATGTGAGTTGCAAGAACTATACACCTACAAAATATAATATCTACAACAGTGTAAAGATCGTTACGTGTACATGTAAAGCCTTTGTTTTGAATATGATAGCAATAATTTTACGTTAACAGCCTGTTTGTGGCACGGTGTATGATCTATGAGGATACTCCTATAAATTAAGCAAAAATGTTCCGTATTTGTTTAGACTATTTTGGAGCAAATAGATATAAAAGAGTGGTAAAAAAGTTTAGGAGTCTTAAAAAGTTTCGTAATCTAGCAGTGCTTTGAAACAAAAAACATTTGGCGAGTGATAAAAAATAGTGTTATTAGTACAGTAGTGTAGCAAACTTCTGTACTGTTTTGGGATTTTTGTCCCCATTGCGTCGCGAATGAGAAGAATATAAACGTCTGTACAATAAATAAAATAAATAAAGATTTTACACTCCATTCTAGTTCCAAACTAAGGAACGTTTACAATAAAAATCTTAACTACGTAGTACTCGTAAAATACCTATGACCTTACCTTCTACTTATTTTTTCGAAGGCCAGACCAAAAAATACATACTTAATAATATTATTCATGCATACAAATAATTGTATTTAGCGGGGCTTAAACACGACTTCTCAGTAGTCTATATTCTTAAGCAATGCTTTCAATATCTTATTTAATAATTTTTTTCAGATTCAGTCAAAAAGAAGGATCGCTGAAAGTAGCAAAAAATGTTCAGTGCGCGAGTATACGGCCCCATCGGACTAATGTATCAATTTGAGAAAGATATATTGAGAAAAACCGTGTTCTTCATTGCAGCTGACTGAAAAAAGTTTATTAATGTAAAATCCTAATAATATTAATATTATGAAGGTAACTCGTATTATGAAGGAAAAAGCTTGTGAGGATGGATAGATGGATGGTTGTTTGTTACTCTATCACGCAAAAAGAAAGAAAGAAAAAATAAATGTTTATTCAAAATCATCGAATATTACAGATACCTAACATGCAATAAAATTAATAAAATAAATGTACGTACATGCTACAATGATACTGAAAAGGTATGCACTCAGCATAGTGTCGTAGCATTCTATAAAATAATAAAGTATCATCAGTCTATATAACTAGCACAGAATTAGGTAGGTACTTATGTTTCCAAAGATAACCGAACCATTAAAAAGACGTTAAAACGGAAACAAACTATTTGGTTTTACAGTTTACAGCCGACTAAATATCTACAGACGGAGCACTTCTTTGTACGTTACAAAGCCACATTATTACCTAAAGCTCTAACGCCCGTATTCTATTACTATGAGATCTCACAGTGCGCGTGGACGCACAGGGTGACAAATGAACTAATTACAGGCTCTATTCAACGCTGTGCGCTCAATTTGAGGTTTCACTTAAGCAAGCATCGTTTGTGAATACGGGCGTTAATCCGCCATAATCCACTCCAAAATAAGATCGAATGCGTCACTAAAAACTACTTACGTAACCTAATGATGGATTCAAGGTCATCTAAAGTTAGAAGTGCGGTGGCCAACAATCGATAGCCATTACTGATGCACGTCTATGATGCTTCAGGCACACCATAGGTTATGGGTGAAGTATATTTTATGGGGAAGACAATGTAGTTTGACCTGGTTAGCTTTTTAATGCACGTAAAAGTTCGTGTAAAGTATGGGTGGGTTTACAATACAACCCTGATTGAGAGCACAACAATGTTCACGTTATGAGGCGTCATGGCGTCTGATATAGCCCAATTGATAAGATATAAGAAAGTTCCTTATAACAATTACATCCTAAGAACCTAATACCTATAGTATAACCCCCGGCACGAAAAGAGGGGTGTTACAAACCCCCTATACAAAAAGTGGGATTCTTCGCTAGGCGACGCCATTTGGTTAAAAATATTAATAAATAATACCCATAGTTATTAAACTGAAAGGGAAAATATACAATTTATTACTGTTTTGATAGATTTTTTGGGTCAAAATCAAATTCAAAATTGTTTATTGCATTTCATGAATGTTAACAAGATGTGGTTATCAAGTTTAAAGTTTTGTTAACAAATCAAAAAGGACTTACTCGTATTTCATATACTACACTGCGTATGGGATTCCATTGTAAAAATACAGAAACCTGTAAGTAATTTAAATATTCAGTGTTTTAATAATGAAATTAGACTAATAAATAATCTAGGTACCGCCCGCGGCCTGCACTGCACTCAATACTCTTTAATTCGTTTCCACCATCAATTTTCCACAAGTAGGTACTTCCAAGTGGAAAATTCCAAAGTTTTCCAAACCGATGTAGATAATGCCTCGACGTGTGCGATTCCAGCTCAAACGTGCTGCACCGGCGCGGCGTAGATAGCATTCAACTTCAGAAGTAAGCGATATCACCTCAGTTTAAATGGGGTTTGCTTGCAGTTTTAGATCGCTTTTAGATTGATACATGAGCTAAATTAGGTCTCATTTCCACGACAATCCAGCAATGCAGTATCCCGCAAAACTGGACTGTCGTGTGAACATAGAATATCGAATTACAAATTCTAACCAGTCGGTTTTTTGCAACATTTTTGGGACATTGCAAACGGGATGTTCGTGTGAACGTTAATATTGTGTAGACAAGTGTACTAAAAGGAATCCTGCAAACAAACAGTTGCTGCAATAAATGGGATATCTCCGTGGGAACAAGCCCTTACATGATTATTCGCTAAGTCTAAACGTAGGCCTTCTTAGGGCGATTTGATAACGTAGCTGATTATTTTATTTATTTATTTATTTACACTTTTGCACATATAAATGTACAGTGGCGGACTTAATGCCAGGTGGCATTATCTGCCAGTCAACCACATGATTACTTGAAATCCAAAAAGGAGATTGAGAATGCTACGGTAATTCAGCATAACTTCTTTTGAATGAATTTGTTTGATAAAAATCAAGTCTTGTATTGTCAAGCGTTTACCTACAACAGAAAGGTGGTATGGAGTGGTTGGCTTAGTACAAAAGTCCGTTCATACCACTTTTCTGTTGTAATATTTACATCCAAACCGAGCAGTTATCAAGACATTCGGTTTGTAACCCGCTGCCCCAGTTTCCTTCCCCCCATCGAAAATGGAGGCAATATACGAGCAATGGCGTATTGATGATGACGTATGCGTTTTGAGGGTATGAACTTCGCCATCTAGATAAGAATATTTGCTTTTTGATTTTGTGTGGAAGATGAAAGATTTCAGAGGTTATTCGACAGCTCAAAGTCG